GAGAATCAAATAGATTACACGACATTTGAAAAATGGCAAAAAGGAGGGAAAATTCAAAAGGTGGGGTTGAGATGGGAAGTTGGTGTCCGAGTGGATCGAGGTCAGGATAGCTCAAGTGGTAGAGTAGCGGCGAATCTACCCGAAGGTCGTGAGTTCGAATCCCGCTCTGTCACTGACTTTCTTATCTCAACTAAAAACCTTAATTAATTGAAAGATATTAATTGGTCAAGCGGACCACGAAAACTAGTGAATAATAGATTCTGTTGAAATTGTGAAAATGTGTTTTCTCGACCTATTATAAATTCTGAGACAATTACAAAATAAAACTAACCAGTAGTGTTATTACTTAATGAAAGAAATTTTTTGCAGATAAATCAAAGAGGTTTAAATAAGTACTACTTTCAGTACATGTAAATTATAGATCCTATAGAATTTGTGAAAATTCGTTTTCTGGACTAATTCTGAATGCTGAGATGATGACAAAATAAAACTAATCAGCAATTTTATTATTTAAGGCAAGAAACAATTTTGAACATAAACATGTTTACAACGGGGAAAATTAGCAAAATATCTAGGGAAACTTATTAGAAAATGAAACGACTAAAACAAAAAAATAAAAATCGAGTTATGTAAAATGTGTATTCATTAAGGACAACTTGATTCAAATATAGATAAAATTTATGAATGACTACATTGAATAGAAAAAGTTAAAACTATAATAACTCTAATGTAGTAAAGAGAAATTCACCCAATTAGGGAAAAAATTAGTGTATGGGTTGACAAATATTAAATGGTTATCGCTGGTCCTCTGCGCTTGTAACGGAAAGTTTTTCGTAACGGAAAATTCTTCGTCGGCTGAATCACCCGGACAGTGCGTGGAGGAATCCTCCCGCAATACTGAAAGCACTCGATATTTCTCGGGGCGGGTTTAAACCTTCCATTCACGCTAATAAATTACTTTCACACTAACCTACAACTCACATATATACTCAAAAATCTTATATTCCTGAGGTACTGAAACAGGGATCCAGGCTTTTAGTTCTCTGCGTTATGAACGATATAATCACAACGTTATGATGATATGATCAACACTTAAGGGGCACCAAAGAGGTATTGTTCCCGCCATCATGTGCCTATGTTTAAAGCTAGTATGTCCTGTGCGTAACTTGGTATTTTATTTGGTATATTAAAACTCTTCAGTTTGCAGACGATATCACCGTATACTGTTCCCATCGTAACTTGAATCAGGCTACAGAAGAGATGACTGAAGCAATGACCTCTCTAAAGGAATGGATTTTTAACCATGGCTTTAACCTATCTGAATCTAAGAGCGCTGTAACTGTTTTCTCTCGCAAACGTACAACTCCTTTAGTAGATAATATAAAATTAGGTCCTTATAACTTTAAAATTGTGGACAAGTTCAAGCTCCTTGGCGTCATGTTTGACCGTAAGCTACTATGGAGAGATCACATCAATTACCTGGTTGATGTTTGCGAAAAAGCCATAAACATAATCAGGTGTGTTACTAAAGTTCGCTATGGCTCACACCCTAGCATTGCACTTCTTCTCTATAGAGCACTGGTACTTTCAATACTGGATTATGGATCATTATTTTATGGAGATGCTGCAAAAACTCATTTGGCTAAATTAGACAAAATCCAGTATAAATCCCTCAGAGTGATCTTGGGAGCTATGAGATCCACGCCAACTAACGCTCTTCAAGTGGAAGCTGAGGAGATGCCTCTCACCCATCGTAAGTTCCTAGTCACTGGTAGATTTTTATCCTCTCGTATGCTAATCGAAAACCACCCCACTGTCCTCCACATCCACCAACTTGCTACTGCCTCCAATACCAGCAATTTCTGGCGGAACAAGAAATCCCCCTTGCTATCTACTCTTTTTTTGAAACTTTCCCACTTGATTATCTCTGTTCCTCCAACGTCCAACCACCCGAAGTTCCTCACCAATCAATTTCCACTACTGGTCCCTAACAAATTTGCTATTCCCGATCCCCTTTCTATTTCCGACTGGTCCTCCTTCCTTCCATACATTGAGGAGGCATCTGGTATGGGCTATTGCGAAGAGGCTCTAGCCATTTATTCAGATGGTTCCAAATCCGACAACGGTGTAGGCGCAGCCTTCCATATCCCAGCTAGTTCCTTCTCAAAACAATTCAAACTTTCCCGCATTGCCTCCATTTTCACTGCTGAAGCCCTAGCAATCCTAGAATCCCTAAAATATGCTCAATCAATTAATCCCCATAATCTTATTATCTTTTCCGACAGTCAGAGTGTCCTATCCGCCATTTCCAATATCCACAATTCCAACCACCCTTTAATATCTCATATATTTAACACCACCATTCAACTAACCAATAGAGGTACCGTAGTGCACATAATTTGGACTAAAGGCCACAGCAACAACAAATTTAATGATGAAGCGGACCGGCTGGCCAAATCTGCGGCCTCCACTGGCATTCCCTGCTCTATTATCTCCCCTAGAGATCTAAGAGCCCACATAAACAGTTACTGCAGGCTCCGTTGGCGAAACGAATACTCCGCCAGCATTCCTACCTTCCCTTGGTTCCGATCTTACAATAGTCCTCGCCATTCTCTCACCTCTATAATTCGGCTTCGCCTAAACCACAATTGTCTTCTCTCCCACCTCTATAAAATAAATAACCTATACTCTCCTTACTGTTCCTGCGACCCCTCGTGCATAGCTGATTCCAACCATATTTTAATAGCCTGTCCCAATACCTCCATCAACCGAGAGTCCCTCTACAACACTCTAATTTCTAATAATATCCCTCTTCCTACCTCAATGTCCGTTATACTCTCTTTTACCCGCAATCCCAAAATAATGTCCTCTCTCTCTAAAAATATAATATAACAAAAGTATACATTTCAATCTTGAAGTTTTGAGACTTGGCCAATATGCTAGACCATCAGGCAAAAAAAACAACTTGGTATTTTCCCTTCTTGAGTATTAGCTAGAAATACACTTCACTGGAAAGGCGTGATGACACATTATGATATAATTAGTAAAATAAAACACATAAACCAAAGTTAAATTTTATAGCTATGAATTTATAGCTGTTATTTTTCAGACAGTAACTATTGAACTTTTAAGAACTTTTAAGAGAGTTACTTAATAAGGATCGCTGTATTAATTTAAATTTCATCTCATTCAACAGTTTAATTTAAAATGATTTGTATAAACAATTGAAACAATTATTGAAGTTTGTCTCAATGGGAAGCATAATATTGAGAGGGTGTAAATCCCTTCAACCCTCATCACGTCTCGTAATCCTCGTTTCCATCTACACGCTGATGAGAACTCCTGCTGCGGTAACAGGCCATTCGTCGCCAAATATGTTTACGGTGGTTAAAGCGAGATTAAAATTACAATGCCTGTTGTTAACATGTTTCAACAATAGTGCGCAATTGTATTGACGAGTTCAAAATGTGAGCGAAAACGAATGAGGAAAAGGCGATGGTTTTGATATTTAACCGAGTACCTATATAAAGAATTTTGATATTGTTTCGAAGAAATACGAATAATTCCAAATTTTTATGTACTTTTTTAAATTTCAATTGAAAAACGTATTCATAAAGTTGCCTTAAGGCGGGTAATTATATTATTAACACAAAGTTTTATTTATTTATTTTTTAGTTTATTAATTAAATAATACAAGAAATGTTATTTTGTGGGATGTGAAAAAGTTTGAATTTGATCAAAACTAAATTAGTTTTCTTTCAGTTTTATTATTTTTATAAACGCACTTAGTAGAGATTTTTAAATTTTTCACGCTGAAAGTTTATATTTATTACTTTGTAATACAACAGGATGGTGCCAAGGAATATCGAGTATTCTGGAGTAATGTTAATGAATGTATGAATGTAATTTATTAGCGTGAATTAAAATGAAATGAAAAAAGAGCTTATCACCGAACACTCCGAAGAATATCGAGTACTCGGGGGCAGTGTGAACAAAGTTTGGTGTGGGAATGTAATTTATTAGCGTGAATGGAGGGGGCTAATGCCCGACCACTCGAGAAATATCGAATATTGTGAATGCAAACGAGATTTCATGTTTTTTTTAAATCTTGTCTCCGTGTTTCTGTGTACTTATGTTTGTTATTTGTGTAGAGATTAGTGACCGTTAATCGATAATTATTCAGATATCGTGAGATGCGGTCTGGTGTGATGTAGGTTTCAGAAAAACATTTTCTTTATCGTGCCAACGTTTCGATCTNCACATCCTAAATGTATTTATTAAATGTAAACAATGTTTGTAAATCCCAGGCCTTGAAGATGATTTCAATAAAGATCGAAACGTTGGCACGATAAAGAAAATGTTTTTCTGAAACCTACATCACACCAGACCGCATCTCACGATATCTGAATAATTAATTTTTGTTATTTGTGTTATTTTAGCCACCATTGACGAGGTCCTGAAAAAAATAACGGAAAGCTAAGCAAGAGAGGGCTGGCGATGATCAATGTAGTTGGCCGTTCCTAAAAACAAGAAGTGATTTGGCAAAACATTATCCTCGTTTTCGTAAAATTAAAATTAACAGAAATGGAAGATTCGAAGGTTTGCCTCGCCCTGTTTATAACTCTGACGCGCTTATTGACTAAGGCCTATATCGGTGAAATATTCTATGAAAGACAGCAGTCAAAATATATCTTTCTTCTATTTAGAATGACCTAAATTGATCAAAAATTTCATAACAATTGAAAATAAAATGAAAAAATCGGTTTTTCTGCCCTTGAAATTCCAAGGGTAATGATTTTCCGCAGTGTTCAACAATTCGTAATATTCATCTAGAATAAACATATGGTAATTAGCATACGAGTCTATATTGTTGGTAATATAATTACTGAATAATTCAATCAGTCAAGTAATTATGTAAATTAGCATTAACATTTTAAAATGGTGAAGATTTATTCAATATTCAAACGTAATAATTGCGTAGGAAAAAATTTAAACCTTACCTTCCAAATAATTGCATCCCTTCTGGCGACGTAAATGTTTGCACCAGCTGGTGCAGCTCATCAGGGCTAACTGCATTCAATCCGTAATATCTGCAATGAGAACAGAAAAAAATTAAATTCAATTTAGCAAACAATCATTTAAAAAAGCAACAATTCCTTTTTCTTAAATTCCTACTCTGAAATTTAAACCTTAATTTCAAGTTTGTACAATCAAAATAAATATTTATTTAAAAAAGGTTTTAGCAATAGTGTTATTGAAATTTAGTAAATGAGTACAATTTTAAGAACAAATTTCTATTTAAAATAACTTAATTATTATCTAAGCAAAAATATAGTAAGTAAATATTACTATTTGTAAAATAAGTTTTGTATTTTACTAAATCGTTGTCTACTTTACCATTTTGATGTTAAAACAATAACTCTATAGAATATTTACAATTTTTAAAAAATTAGTAATAATTTTTTTACCTCGTGAAATTATATTCTAGAGTCCAAATTGCCTCGTTTGCCTCGTTAGACTTGGGCAGGTCCATGTAATACTGCATGTAATTAACTATCTGGAACAGATGAAATTATATTTAACAAAAGCACATACATTCCTTATTAATTTAATCATTATCTCGTTTGGTTTGAAACCATATTGTTCAGGAGCCGTGATATTAATATTTGATTAATTAATATAAATTAATTTACACTTTGTTAATATTTATACTCACCTTTCTTTCCTATTTTTTTTGTCTAATTTCCATTTTTTATTATTGTAATAGAAAAATAAGATAACGGAAGAAAAAATATTTTCTTACTAGTTTTATCAAGTTGTATAGATTATTAAGAATAAAGGATAACCAAACGCATTTGATTTTTAAACTTCTATTCATCAAAAAGGAGAAGAGTAACGTTAGCCCTGAACCTTCCTAATCAAACTTAACCCTAGTCCTAACCTATTTTACCAAAACAAACACGTCCATAACACTTATACTAATTGTAGCTTAACCGTAGCCCTAATCCCAGCATCATCCGTTACCAAACCCGACTCTGAATCGTAACTTTAACACAATCTAACTTATTCTAACCTAACCTAACGTTACTCTACTCCCCAAATTAACCCTACTTAACGAAACGCGTCCCTAACTCTAACCCAACTCAAGGTGAAGGTTAATGTTGGGTGATGGTCTGAGTGTCGGTGAACTCGTGGTGAACCGGCATTGGATCACTTAATGGGTCCGTCTTCACTCGCGGGTTTGTCGAACGGCTCAACGCGTTTCGGGATCGCGCCATCTGTAGTGAGGGCATTTCCTCACTGTCCGATATTAACTCTTAACCCTAACACTACCTAACCTATTCTAAACTATCCAAACTTAACCCTGCTCTTGGCATTAACCCCACCTATCCAAACTTGTCTCTAATCTAACTCCAATCTAACATAACCTGACCCCACTGTTAACTCAAATACTATCAAATCTATTCTAACCTTACTTAACTTAACCTTTGTCCTAACCCTAAGCGAAACCCTACTTTACAAAACTTAACCCTAGCCCTAACGTTAATTCTACTTAACATAACATAATTTAACCCGAAGCATTCCTTTCTTTGAGCAGAACTAAACCAAACGTACATGTTTTCTCCTCTTCACTGGGAAACAATTGATATCTTGAAAAATACATATTTTTACTTATTTGAGAAATTTACAAAAACTGTGAACAGTAGTAAATTTTTAAAGAAGACATAGCAATATATATATAAACTCGCACGTTGTGCTATTCGCATATTTTTCCGCTTAACGAAAAACGCGTTGAACCATGAATATGTAATCTAACTCGTCCATAATATAATCCTCCCAAACCAACTTAACAGTAACAGTAACCTTAATATAACCAAACCCCACCAAAGCTCTAACCCAAACCAAATATAACCGCCTAACACTTCTAACCTAACCATACCCCTAACCTTAGCCTTATCCTAAGTACCCTAATTATAACATAACCAAAACTTTATCTCACCCAACCCAAATCATACCTCAACCGAACCAAGTCATTTCTGGCCCAACCTAATCAACCCATGCGCACTCACTGGCAACACGAAATCAATTGCGTGCACATGGTCACGAAAAAAATTATGTATTCAACCGAAAAACATCTCCATGTTAATAATTTATATCAAAATTAATTTTCATTAGTAATTGTTGTAATTGTGACCTATACATGCTAATATTTATGTGTGATATTTAGTGACAGTTAATTAATGATTATTTTGAGATCGTGAGATGCGGTCTGGTGTGACGTAGGTTTAAAAAAAAACATTTTTTTATCGTGCCAACGTTTCGATCTTTATTGAGATAATATTCAGGGCCTGGGATTTATAAACATTGTTTAAGTTATAGCAGTACATGTAAGATGCGAAAAAATGAATTTATACAATGATAGAAATTTTAGACTCAATCAAAGTATTTGTACTCACTAAAATTTTGTATTCTGTGTAGATGTGTTACTGCGTGACGTCTTGACAGTGCCAGTGAGATATTAAATGTTTTTGTTTTGGAAGTAGGGATAGAAATCAATATTTCTATGAAGAGTCGGCTTCTTTGAGGTGAAAAGAACCGACAATGGGAAAAATGGGTAATGGTTCGGCCTGATTAGCCATTCAAGATAATATAGACGAAAATAATTAGGGAAAGAAAAGACAAATGATGAAGAATTAGACCATGTAAAAATGTTTGATGTGGATTGTAAAGATTGTTTTATATGTTTTGTGTGTTATATGTGTAAGCGTGTCTCTTCTTCTTATTGTTGGGCCCAACCATGAATTCGGAAAACCGAAAACAAGGTCCCAGAGGTTTTTTTATGATCGGACCTGACTACAATTATTTAATTTAATGATCAGGCACCTTTTTTTGGTTTCCATGGGTTAAGAGCTGTCTATTTGTAATAAAGAAAAAATTGGTATGCACACAATTCAAGTGAGTAAATTTTATATTTTGACGTCAAAGAAACTAAAAATACTAATTGTATTTTAATTTAAAAAAGGGTTGTCACAAAAATATATTTTTATAAAGAAAACTAAAAGAGATAGCATTTGATTTTAAAAATTATGTTAAAATATTAATTGTATTTTCTAATTGGTGGTCAAAAATTAATAATAATAACAATAATAATAATTTCCTTTACTATTACTTTTCTTTACAAAACGAGAATTAAATTCGATTTTAAAATTCATGTTTGTAGATTCTGAAATAGGTTTTATTATAGAATAAAAGATTCTTTAAACTAAAAATAATAATTAATAAAAGAAATTTTATTTGGAAATAAAGTGTAATAAAAAATTTAAATTTAATTAATACTTTGGTCTCGTATTTGTTTTGGTTTAAATTGAATATTGGAATTTTGTATATCAAAAAAAGTTCCTGATCATTAAATTAAATTAATGTAGTCAGGTCCGAACATAAGACAACCTCTGGGACCTTGTTTTCGGTTCTCCGAATTTAGGTTTGGGCTCAAAACAGAAGAGACGCGCTTACATATACATAACATTTTAAAATAGTATTTTATTTAAAGTAATATACATTTTATGTATGCAAAATTTTGACACTATTCTTGTGTAAATTACTGGCAATCACTTCGTAGCACTCGTTTTGAGCTTTGTGCATAATATAGAAATCAATAAATAAAAATAAATAAATTACATGAAATTATAATTATCAATTTATATTATATTAATAAGAAACAGCTAGTGGTACTGATTTTTAGTCCAGGATATGCGATGTTATTTTTAAGAAAATTGTTCACTGACGTTTTATGTTTCAAACCTTAGAATCGTACATTTTCATTTTCTTCAGAAATGAATAATTAATTCACTTAGCGTTGAATATATCGATAGTTGTAAAATTTACATTTCCGACGTATATTATAAAAAAATACATATACATAAAATCCAAAGACTTTCATTATGTATTAATATTCAGTAAAAGCTATTCCTTGTATTGCCAAACAGATCTGGCACAGGTTTTTAAACTTATAAATTATTCAACCCGTAAAATAGGGCGTATCTGTCGGCATTTTGATTGTACAACGAACATAATATTGTCAATCGATGAGACAGTGAGAAAATTGTGACTTGAAAAAAGAAAAGGCCGAAGGTCGATCGTCTGAAGTACAAACATTCTCAGTATTTAATCAAAATTTAGGCTTAATTGATTAAAAGCGCCCTCCGGCCAGTTTGCACTGCTCGTTTTTGTTAATTATAACGAATTCAGTCCAGGGATGAACAAGCCATGGTTTTATAATGTAAATATTATTTCAGAGCTTAAATCAGGTACAAATAGAAATGAGACAGTGATATTGATTCGCCTTAAATTTTCTGTGTCGCAAAATTATTTATTATCCTTTAAGAAAAGCCCTTTTAATAAAAAAATGAACTAAGTTGATGATGTATTGATATCCTTAGAAATATATATGACTAAAATAATAACAATACAACAGCAAATAATAATTTTTATTATTGCCCGAAAAATTGTGATTTTCCGCCTTGAAAGATTGAAAAATAATAAGGAAAGGATTAAGCGTGAAGGTGGAAACTGAAGCCAATTTGTTCATTGTTAGAAATGATAACTGATTTCGGAGTATTGAAAGGATGGTTATTTTCGGAAAATCTCCGAACTAGATAAGCCTTGGGTACATTACCCCCAAGTGAATCATCAGTGAAAAGCTTTCCCAAGAAATGAAAACTTGTGCTTTACGTGAAACAGGTGAATAAACTTTGAACTTAGCCCATATGAGAGATTGTTAACGCTGAACCTATTCAGATCGACTCGGCAAGTAAAGGTTAAATGAACATAAATAGATTGCTTGTTTTAATAAAATAAATTTATTCGATCATGTAAATTGTATTACAATGAGACGATAAAATTTGATAATACTTCTAATTGTAACTTGCGTATGCTATGACGAAAATTATTTGTTCATAGAGAAACACTTTAAAAGCAAAATATTAATGTTTGGTTGAGAAGTAAAACCCTAAATAAAATGTATAGATATTTTTTCATGGTTGTTTTTATTAAGTTGTCCACAGTACTTTTAAAAATAAAAAACAAATATGCTCGTGTTGGTAATAAAGTTCAACTTTAATTATCTTTGAACTTTTCTTGCTTATATCTACACTTTTCGGCTAATGTGGAAAACCAACTCACTAAAAAATAAATAATATCTGTAAAACTATTTCGGTTTGATTATGATAACTCTAAAACATTTGGTTAAATATTATATATTATTAAATTCACTAATTTCGTGGTCCGCTTGACCAATTAATATATCACAATTAAATAAGGTTTTAAATTGAGATAAAAAAGTCAGTGTCACGAGCGGGATTCGAACCAACGACCTTCGGCTTGATACGCCGCTACTCTACCACTTGAGCTATCGTGAATTCAAATGGTAGAGTAGCGGCGTATTAAGCCGAAGGTCGAAGGTTCGAATCCCGCTCGTGACACTGACTTTTTTATCTCAACTTAAAACCTTAATTAATTGATTATTGGTCAAGGAAAAATAGTGAGTTTAATATTTACTTTTTAGGACATTTCAATTTCTTTACTACTACAAATGTATTGCTTTATTCTGTGTTCTTCTTTCCTTTTTATTTAGTTGTTCTTCCTTTTTATTTTCTGGAATTGGCGAGGATAATGGTTTATTTCTTTGTGTATATTCCATCTGTTTTCGTAATTTTTTTTTTAACTTTCTCTTGTTTTTGAAGCTGCTGTCAGACTTTATTTTCGGTTGTTTGCGTTAAAAGAACTGGCGAATCATACAGAAAACAAAGGTGGTTCAAAATTAAACCTACCTGGTATTACGAGAGATCTGTCAAAACCCCTTTAACATAGAAATTTCAATTAGAAAAAAAAACGCAAAGTTTACTTTGGGTTGGGCCGAGTATGATCTTATTTAAAGTTTTGTTCTTTATTAGTAATGAGAGGGGATGGGGTTTTACGATTTAAAAAAAAATTGTTAAGTAATTGTTTAGCTTGTTGAAAAGATTTAAGATTTTCTGGCTGGATGGATGATCATTGTTCAATTTTGACACCACAAAGTTCCGTTCTATTTAATGCTATCATACAGTTCTATGTACTTGAGTTCGTTAAGTTTCAACGTTTTAAAATCTATCTCAGCTTTGCTGTCATCGATTTTAATAACAACTTCAGTGCTCCCGTTTATAAAATACAAAACAGAAGGTGTTTAATTAAAACTTTTAATTTAATTAATTATTTATATAATCGCCTAAGTCTGGTCGACAAACTTTGCTTGTCAGAAAGGCTACAGGAATGCAAAATAGATGAGAGTGCAATAAATTAGGCCAACTACGTGCAGACTCATTGAAAACTGTAATATCGTCGATTTTGCCTTTTGGATCTCCATTTGATTATGATTTAATTTACGTATTATCTTTAGAATAAGATTTTAATAATTTATTTAGTAGAATAGAGTAAATAAAAAGGCAAGTTTAAATTTTATCCGTTTCAATTCTACGTTCTAGTTTAGCCTTGTATGTTTAAAAAAATAAAATAAGAAAGTGTTTAATTAAAACTTTTAATATAATGAATTATTTATTAAATTACCGAATTTTAGCTGTCAGAAAGGGTAAGGCAGTGCGTAATAAATGACATCAGGCTAATCACGTCTTGACTCATGGAAAACCGCGCAGTCTGAATTACTCTTTGCTGCTCAAACAGATATCCAGGTCGTGTAACATGGCCGTGTGAACTACTCAGAAAAGGTAAACGACTTTGAAAACAATAAGAACCGGGATCGATGTGGAAAGTGCATTGTCATCAAGGCCATTTGGCAACTCTACAGCAGGCTCTGCGGCAAATTTATCGTACTGCATTGGCATGGATTCTATTACCAACCTCTCCATCGTCGGTGTCAAAAGTGTAAAGCCGGATCGCCGGGTTGTTGGCTCCGCTCGTCGTCCTCTTGGGAGTGATTGACGGCGTCAGGAATATGCTCGATATCGGCTCACCTAGAACAAATGGAAAAATCATGATATGATTCCTTACAGAGCCATTTTGTTTGAAAAATGCAGACATACTACCAAACGTGTAAAATAACGAGTTTTTGAATTTGTCATAAGGTATTTTCCTTATAAATCGGAAATACTAGGTCTTCTGAAAAGTCCTATCAATTTGTGTTTAAGTTAAAGTTTTACTGGTTTTGTTATTATTGAAATTCAACATTTCCTATGGTAAATAGTTAACAAAAATTATATAAATACTTACTAAATTCGAATCTAATCTTACTTAAGCGTTCAAACTATTGAAAGCAATATAAACAGCAGTTTGTTCGTTTACCATCGTTTTTATCGGTCCATCCTGGATGTTTTTATCTATCAGACGCGGTTTGGCCAATCTTAAATGGGACAGACCCACCACACTAATGACTTGTGTAGATTTAGTTCATCTTTGACGGCAAAAACCGATTTTGGTCTAAGTCCTAAAATTATTCGTAGTTGTCCAAATCTACCGTTAAGTTTTGTCCTTTGAACTTGTGTACTTATTTCACTTTTGCTGTCCTAAGTATCCGAATAGAGTGGCAATCGGTAGACCCTTGCTGTTGTTATATATTCAGGGGCAAGTAGGTTTGTTCATTGTAAATGATTTTTCCAATCTTGACCCCCACTTTTGGCACTTGTATTCACTAGATGTTTTTTAATGTTGGAGGTCATTTGCATAGATAGTAAATAATAGTAAATGATTGTTACAGTATAAGTGGTATAAAGGATGGGACCAAGAATGTACCCTTGTGATTACCGGTTTGTTTTTCTCTGATATATGATTATGCTGCACTTCACTATGAACGAACAGTCAGTTAAATAAGATTCCAGAATTGGTAGAAAGTTTATGTTAATAAAGATTACCTGGGCGCCACACCAATATCAAATAATCCGTAATCTACTCAAACGATGACCCTGGAACGTTACATTCATTTACACGTATAGAAAGAGCAAACCGTGGGGAAATATTCTTATTTCATTGGCCCAGCGCGTAACTATCTACGTAAATGAGAATTGTACAAATAAAAAATAAAAAAAAAATAGCAAAGGCTACAAATAGGTAGTCTATGAAACTGGAACCATAAGTTATTAAAATTGACTCTGTAGTTAAAAGAGAGGTCTTGTCAAGAAATATTTTAAAATCTGACATCTTTCGAATGCTTATACCAGAATTATCATATAATTCACCCCGCTGATTCCAAAAGAAAATCTCACAATATGGTTCCTGCTGAGTCCCAAACCGACTCAATTTTGCTGTACTGAGTTCAAATCCGGCTTAAAAAAGACTTATGATGCTCATAAAATATTCCCGACCTTTGGGCGGGCATCCCAGGTCAAGAATTAGTTGAAAATGTCCGCTTATGGTGGTATTTAAAACTCCAGTTGTTACACGTCTAATTAGTACAGTTTAAAAAAAAGTTCTTTGCTTTTGTATCATAAAATATACATTAGTAAATACATTAGATGTATTTATTTTGTTCCATTACAGAATTACGTTTCTATTGTGATTTAAAGTGGTTGGTAAAATCCCTACTTAGAGGTATCGACTTGATATCACTTTAATTAGAAATAACCCCGAGGTTTTTGTTCCCTCGAAATTCAAAATCTTTGCCTGAGATGAAGAATCGTGGCGCATTTTCACAGAAGGCTTACAAAACAAACTAAACTGATTTTCGTATAATAAAGTCATGAATATTCAAAGTACACTGAACATATTAGGAGAGGATCATACTGTGAAATCGATCGTCGCCCTTTTCAAACATAAATTAATTAAACGTTCAAAGACCCTTTAAGTAAATTTCTTAACCGGCTTTACAACTATTTTTATTTTTGATTTGAACTACCTCCATTACTATTTTCATACATCTTTATTTCATTATTTATAGCACAATTAACTCATACGAAATTTTCGCGATCGAAAAAAATAAAGACATATTATAATAATCTATATGGTATTGTGTTTTTCAAAATCCAAATATGTGAATGTTCAAACCGACCACAAATTATTGGCATTATTTAAAAACGGCCAGTGAAATTTAGTGAGTCTTTATGAAGGTGTTAACCTAACCGGTTTGCACTATTTAAACCAAATGAAATATTTTCTTTACGGTTATTTATAAAATAAAGTGTGTAAAATATTTACGCAAGTAGGCCTATTAGCCAACGTAAATATGTACTCGAATAGCTGTAAAATATAATTTCACGTAGAGGCCGAGGGCCTTAGCAATGCAGGTTAAAATAGTTTTGTTTAATCAAAAAACAAAGTTGATATTCGTTTATTTTGCACTAAAATCCCTGAATAAACAATACACAAATATTTGGTCAAATATGTATTCTCAGAATTGTTGTCTGAATTAATTAGGCATTTAGATCCGATTTTATCTACCACTGATACCGAAACCGCACAGGGCTTCATACGTATAAACTACACGTAAGGCCAGAAAATAAATTAGAACCTGATATATAAAATAAAACAAATATTTGTTAAAACATCAGAATGTTGAACAATGAAGCTTTATAACAGTGTCATATCAGAGAATTGATATAAAATCCAGAGAAGCAGCAGATAAACACAGGGTAAAAATGTCTTGGATTAATTCAGCTCTAAAATGTATATTTTTTGTTTGCCCTAAAAATCGTATTATTGGGCTTAAAAAACGGCTCAAATAGAATTAGAATTGAACCTAATTTACTGGAAGCTTTTTTTAATTTTTGTAACTTTGCATATATTTAATTTAATAAAATCCTGTATATTATTTTCTTATCGTGGATAAAACAACAAATCGAATTATATACAATACTTTGAAATAATATACAACAAAGGCAGAAAATGTATGTAAGATAATTTTAATATTTGTGTTTCACGATTGCTGGTGCCAATGCGTCGAACACTGTCATTAAAAAAAGTGTTCGGTGATCCAAAAAAGTTTTCCTTCGTACGTTTATCTTAACTTCCTCAGTTATTTTTAAATTTCGAATACATTTGTTTGACATTGGGTTAAATGCATTGGAAAACTAATCAAAAATTATTTTTTGGATTAAAAACAATGGTAGTATTTGATTTAACATGTTAGTTTTGCAATATATATAGTTTTTCAAAACCAATTTTCAAACAGTTTTTTCATTTTTAGTAAATCTAATGGAGGGATGAATCTGCAAATAAAGATACAACTATAAACACTTCCGTCAAAAAAATCTCAGTTCGAATTTACAAGAACATTTGGTTAAATAAAACAAAAAGACTCAAAAGTCTAAAATAAATGTATTCTTTAAGAATCGAACATGTATTTGATTAAAATAACAACTTATTTAAAGGAAATAACTTTTCGAATTTTCTTATTTGAACACAATTAATATGTTTTATATTTAAAATGGAATTTAATAAGAAAATATTGATTTATCTGATTTAATGATTTCTTTCTACCGCTTTCGTATACTCATAAAACCTTTATGTAGAAAATGTCCTCCTTCTCCAATAAATCTCGCCTTAGGGTTTGATTCCGTGATCATTTTTTTAATTTCAAAAACATATTTGATTGAGTTAAAGTCCACTCAAAGATACACTAGCTGCCTTATGTGGCCAAGCATTATTATATAAATTTTGTGCCAGATCATAAAAGACCCTCTACTTATGGCACTTTTTTTGCAATAGTGACTTCTTTGGTCTCCAGTTTTTCTACATACTCTTTCACGGCTATCTCTGTTAAGGGCTATTCGTCTTATTCCTTTTTTTAAAGTTCACGATTGGTGTTTCCTTTCTTGGCCTCTCTCTTTGGGGCTTTTTGAACTTGCTTTATGATTATCTCAATCCAATCAATCAAGCGATCATGATTTAATGTCAGAAGCTCTTGAATATCACTTCCAGATTGAATGTATTATTTAAAACGTTTTTCAATGAGATTCTCTGATTTTGGTTGCTTCGAATAACTCCAGGACTTTTGAACTTGTTATGACTCTTAAACTGACGAATAATGTGTATTAAAGCGATTAGAGATATAGCGCAATGATTTCTTCTTCTCCATGGAGAGTGATAATTGTGACTGATGTACCGCAGTTTAATTTACTAATTATAACAAAATCAGAATAAACAGAGTAAAGAAAATAACTACCCGGGCTAATAAAATGTAAAAACTGACTTGAAACAAACCTAGAAAAAACTAGAATTCAAACACAATCGTCCCTCTCGTTATGTGGGTATGTTGGTGATTTTTTTTTAAAATTCACTGTTCAAAGGCGTCTTCAATGTTTTTCCGTGAAAAAGAGAAAATACGCAAGTTTAGGTTTGTTTGCAATCGTCGAAAGGAAAAACTACAAAAAGTGCAAATTTCTTCTTAGCACGGCGCTTGAATAGATTAAAGCCCGCGTGACAAATCGGTCGTGCAGGTTGAACATAGCAAAGCGCCGTATTCTACGTTAAATTTTCATTCTATTATTATTAATTCATATAATTAAATAAACTTAGAATTAAAAAAATAATTATATGACTCTTGAAAAATTGAAAAAAATACGCTTTAATTTAAAAACGCTGCAGTCTAAAAATATCGGACAATTAAATGAAATTTTCACATTAAAACAGAACGTAATGGCTTGTCAAGATGTAAACGTTTTCAAATGGTGCTTTCTACAAAGATTCACCTCCGCAGAATAACAAGCAGGATGATGCTAACGACGGAAAAAATTAAGAAGGTGTTTTTCTTTTTATATTTCACCAAGTGCTAGAACAAAACAAATGCAGCTCTTTTCAGTTTTCTCTTTTATAATTATGTTAGAATCAAAGCCTCTTTGTTAGCCCTGACAGGTTGATGTCTCTCATTTTTTGCAAAAAGCTGATTACACGAAAAACAAGACTTATCTTTACGAAAGACTTTCCTTATGATTACTTTTTTGACAACAAAACTACTTAAAAATTTAATAATTAATAAAATACAATTTTTACATTAATTAGTAGTTTATACTGAGAAAATAATGTT